AGGAGGGAAGGAAGGAAGGAAGGAGGGAAGGAAGGAAGGAGTTGGAAGGGACCTTGGAGGTCTTCTAGTCCAACCCCCTGCTCAAACAGGAGACCCTATATCATCTGGACAAATGACTATCCAGTCTCTTGTCCAGAAACCTCCAGTGTTGGATGACAACTTCTTGAGGCAAGTTGTTCCACTGGTTTATTGTTCTAATTTTCTGATTAATTCTTCTCACTGTCAGGAAATTTCTCCTCAGTTCTAAGTTGCTTCTCTCCTTGATTAGTTTCCACCCATTGCTTCTTGTTCTACCCTCAGGTGCTTTGGAGAATAGCTTGACTCCCTCTTCTTTGGGGCAGCCCTTCATCCTTCACCCTAAAGTTCCCAATCCTATGCCAACTCTTTTCATCTACCTCCAAGGGGTGTGGTGGAAATGAAAATTGTGGGGGGAAACGCCAGCCTTGACTAATTATTTTATTTATGGCCAATGCCTACAGCCGACTTTCCTGCAACAGGCAGAAAATCAGCCAGTTCGGAAAGGTCATTAACCCAAATACACACCATTAAAAATTAACTTCAGACAATACCAGAGTCATTAAAAATTAATCTAGAGCAATCTAATAAAGGTCCTAATTTTGTCATGAAGATTAGCTTGCCAGGGGTCCTGGTGGATGTAACGAAGGAGGGACATCCATATTTGTCCTGGTTAGCAACTTTTATTGCACCCACAAACTTGGGGAAAAACTAAATTGAAATCCTCAAAAAGCCATGTTGGCTCTCTACAGTCAGGAAATGAATGTAGAAAATCCAAAAGTATTTGGTTTAGATTTCACCTTGGCCAAGAACTTGAAAGTGGTCATAATTCTTGACCAGATTTAGTTCTGTTTTGTTCTTTTATTCTGTTCTCTTCTCTTCTGTGCTTTTATTCTTTCGGTTCTATTCCATTCTATTTTCTATATTCTATTCTATTCTACCATTCTATTCTAATCAAAATCGTATTCTATTCTATTTCTATTCCTATTCCCTATGCTATTCAGAAACCTATTCTGTTCTATTTTCTATTCTATTCAGAATCCTATTCTATTCTCTATTCTATTCTCTATTAATTCTATTCTATTCTATTCCTATTCCATTCCTATTCTATTCTATATTAATCCTATTCTATTCTAATCTGAATTCTATTCTATTCTACTTTGAATCCTATTCTGTTCTATTCCTATTCTATTCTTTTCTATTCTATTCAGAATCATATTCTGTTCTCTATTCTATTCTATATTAATTTTATTCTATTCTATTCTGAATCCTATTCTATTCCATTCCTATTCTATATTAATCCTATTCTATTCTCATCTGAATTCTATTCTATTCTATTCTGAATCCTATTCTATTCTATTCCTATTCTATTCTTTTCTATTCTATTCAGAATCATATTCTGTTCTCTATTCTATTCTATATTAATTTTATTCTATTCTATTCTGAATCCTATTCTATTTCATTCCTACTCTATATTAATCCTATTCTATTCTCATCTGAATTCTATTCTATTCTGAATCCTATTCTATTCTATTCCTATTCTATTCTTTTCTATTCTATTCAGAATCATATTCTGTTCTCTATTCTATTCTATATTAATTTTATTCTATTCTCATCTGAATCCTATTCTATTCCATTCCTATTCTATATTAATCCTATTCTATTCTCTTCTGAATTCTATTCTATTGTATTCTAATTCTATTCTATTTCTAGTCAGGATCCTGTTCTACCTCTATCTCTAGAAATAGAAAAGAATAG